AGAAAGAAAGAAAGAAAGAAAGAAAGAAAGAAAGAAAGAAAGAAAGAAAGAAAGAAAGAAAGAAAGAAAGGAAGGAAGGAAGGAAGGAAGGAAGGAAGGCAGGCAGGCAGAGAAAGAGAAGAAAAAGAAAGTGGAACAGCGCATATAATGATGATCTGTGGGGAAGTGAGAAAAGGAGAAAGAGGTGCTGGGCTTCTGTCTTCTGTCGGCCAGTGAAAAACAGCCTCAATGAGAAGACCAGTGAGCAGATGACTTCGGGCTATGTGGGAACAAGACAAACGGACGTTGAAGGAGAGAGAGGTTCAGACAGAGGCAACAGCAAGTGCAACGGCCCACAGATGACTGTGTGTTTTCACAGACCACTATGATTGCAGAAAAATAAGAACGAGAAACAGGCAGATGACCCTTACACTTGCCAGCGATCTCAGCAGCCACCGTGAGTCTGAAGCTCTTGCTCTGAGTGTGACAGAAAGGCACTGGAGGGTGTTGTCGGAAGTGACGTGATCTCACTCAGCTTTCAACTACCACAGGAAGAACTCTAGCATGGGGTGGTCTGTGAGGAGGCTTCCACTACCGTCCAGACAAGACATGGCGGTACCGAGCCTGGTGAGAGCCATGAAGCCCACAGGTGCTCGGAGAGTGAGCACTCTGTGAAAGCAGGCCTGACAGGGCATGCTGGTGGATCCGGAGTGTGTACAAGGAGAAGAGAGGTCCAAAACCACACCAGGATGGTGTACAAGGAGAAGAGAGGTCCAAAACCACACCAGGATGGTGTACAAGGAGAAGAGAGGTCCAAAACCACACCAGGATGGTATACAAGGAGAAGAGAGGTCCAAAACTACACCAGGATGGTGTACAAGGAGAAGAGAGGTCCAAAACCACACCAGGATGGTGTACAAGGAGAAGAGAGGTCCAAAACCACACCAGGATGGATTTTCCCTGAGCAATTATGAGGAAGCAGCAAGCCTCAGACAGGAGAGAATAGCATGAGTTAGGGTTTGAACACAAACAGTTTGGGAGGCCATTAAACACCACAGTGGAAAGACCAGAAAAAAAAATCCAAGGAGAGTGACCATGCAGGCGAGCAATAGAAATGTCTTCAGTGGGAAATGCGTCGGTCATGGCTGACAGAAGTCATGAGACTCATAGAAGTTTCTTACGAGGGCGGTGGTGAGACTGCACTGAGGGCAGAGAAGAACCGGTCACTGCTGCTGAACTTCTGCTTCTAGAGCACTCTGTTACTATTTAGAAACCCTCAGAAATGAGAGCGCTATTCACATTAAGTGAAGCCCTTTAAAGTGAATCATAAATTAGTCCTATAAAGAGCATAAATAAAACAGTGTTTCTTTCTAGACTACAGGTGGAAAGTCTTTTCACAGGCAATTGAATCTTTGTGTGTGTGACCAGTCTGGTACTTGGATTTGAGGCCTGAATGCTGTCCCCTAGATTTCCCACTCAACGTTGACACTATGCTTGAGCCACACCTCCACTTATGCTTTTTGGTGATTAATTGGAGATAAAAGTCTCAGACTTTCTCGTCTAATGCTAGCGTGAAACTAAAATCCTCAAATCTCATTTACTGATCCTGAGCTGCTAGAAATACAGGCATGAGCCACCAGGGCATGGCTGATTCTAGATTATTCTAAATATGTGAATGGTGTTGAACATTCATCTCATTTCCTATTTGCTCTATTTTTAAAAATCTGCAATGGGGGTGGGGGAGAACGGGTGAAAATGAGGGAGGGGATAACACTGTTCAAAAAGAAATGCATTCATGACCCTATCTATGTAACTGTAACTCCTCTGTGCATCACATTTACAATAAAATTCTTTAATAAATAAATATTTCTTTAAAAAATCTGAAATAACTGGCTCCAGCCCAGCCCAACCCTAGGTACAAATGAATCTAGAGAAAACCTTCCAACTCCTTGAACTCTTCCCGCCAAGCCCGAGAGCCCACTTACTGCAAACTCTGCAAGAGGCAGCCCTGCTGTCTCAGGACCTCACAGAGCATCATGACCCCCAGATCTCCAAGGTCGTTATTGCCTAGGCTCAGCTTTCGGAGGCTCCTATTGGAGGTCAGGATTGTAGAAAGATCCCAGCAGCTGTGTGAAGTGAGGCTGCAGTTGTCTAATCTGCCAGAAACAGTGATTTAAAGAAAACACCTTTTAGCCATTCCCCAAGGCCCTAAGATTTTAACCTGTATTATTTCCAACACCAAAAAAAAAAAATGTTGTCTTCTCCAAACACGTGCATGCCATACCAATTCTGCTTTTCTGGGTACAGAGGATTGTGGTGACAGGAAGCCAACTTCCTGTCTACAAAGTTCCACCTCGTACCATGATCCTGGAATAAGCCAAACCCTAGGACACCAGCTTAGCTAGAGATTGTCTCAGGATTGCTCCCCACAGAACTCTACTTTTCCACCACATAAGCCCGTCATGACTCACTCCAACATCTGAAGCTTGCAGTCAGGGTGCAAGAGCCCTTCACACAGTAGCTTGAGCCCTCCGTCTCCAAGGGCGTTGCCTCGAAGGTAAAGGTGTGTGAGGCTGTGGTTAGCTTGGAGTGCAGAAGACAGAGCTGAACAGCAAGCTGATGTAAGGCCAGAATTCACCAACCTGCAGAGAGAACAGAAAGAAGGGCCTTTGCTGAGCAGCCTCTCCCAGACATTGCGCAGACCCTTTATCACGGAGCCTCACTTACAGTCTAACCTGCTACAACCTGCAACTTGAAAGTCAGAAGGCAGCATCTTGGATTCAGTCTGAGTGACACAGGACTCCCTGTCTCTGAATCCCACCAAACAGAAAAGTGATGGTCTCCGCAGATGCTTTGCTGGGATTCGAACAACAGAAAGAGTAAAGGCAAACAGACACAGATTCCCCATCACACCACCCCTCTTTACGCAGATTCCCCGGGCAGTGGATGCACCTTAGCACTACTTTCAGAAAGATACCCAAGTTACTCCCAGGTAGTAATGAATGACCCTGACACTGGCAGAGACCTGTCTTATTTGATTGTGATATAACCCTAACAAAAAAATATGTAGCAGCCGAGGGGCCAGTGGCTTATGCCTGTAATCAGCTACTCAGGAGGCTGAGATCTGAGGATCGAGGTTCAAAGCCAGCCCTGGCAGGAAAGCCCATGAGATTATCTCCAATAAACCACCAAGAAACTGGAAGTGGCGCTGTGGCTCAAGTGGTAGAGTGCTCGCCTTGATCTGAAGAGCTGAGGGACAGCGCCCAGGCCCAGAGTTCAAGACCCATGACTGACCAAAAAGGAAACAAGAAAGGAAAATCAAGTCATTGCAGCCAATCCAACCAACCCACAGCATCAGGTAACTGCAACCTGCGGAGTTTGCTGGTCTCAGCCAATCTGTGCAGCTCAACGCTCCTTCCTGGGCACAGACCTCTTGCCATGCATTGTAATCAGTCAGCTTACAATGTTCTTTTTTCTTCTTTGGTCAGTGTAGCACTCTACCACTTTGAGCCACAGCTCCACTTCCCAAATCATAATTTTCAATTTTTTTTTGTCAGTCATGGGGCTTGAACTCTGGGCCTGAATGCTGACCCCCAGCTCTTCATCTCAAGGCTAGCTCTCTACCATTTGAGCCATAGCACCACTTCTGGATTTCTGAGTGGTTTATTGGAGATAAGAGTCTCACCGACTTTCCTGCCCAGCTGGCTTTAAACCGTGATCCTCAGATCTCAGCCTCCTGAGTAGCTAGGATTACAGATGTGAGCATCGGTGCCCAGCTCCAACTCATAATTTTCTATTAATATTCTGCCTAATGTCACAAAACTTTTATAATAATGAGAATTTATTAAATCTATTACATGACATTAAAAAGGATTATCTTATTGAATTATTACAACCTTAAGATGAAAGTACTACCTTTATTCCCAATTTTAGGTTAGGGAAACAGAATAATACTTAAAGAGTAAGTGAGAGCTTCCAGACTGACAATGGGAAGAAGGAGGCTGGGGTAATCAACTTCTCAACAAGGAAGACAAAAATACAAGGATAAGAAAGAGCGAGGGCGTGTGACTCTGAGGGACTCGGGAAAGGGGACAGGGTCGGCGGCCTCACTGCTGCAGCAGCAGTGCAGCAGCATCACAGTCGGAAGGTCCTGAGTTTGAAGCACAGAGGGGCAATGAAGTTTTCTTACTCAACCCCAAAGAAGAGAAGCAAACGAACAGAAGACTTTTGGGCTGGGAATGTGGCTCAGTAGTAGAGTGTTTGCCAAGCATGCATGAAGCCCTGGGTTCAATTACTCAGTACTATATAAACAGAAAAAGCCAGAAGTGGTGCTGTGGCTCAAGTTGTAGAGTGCTAGCCTTGAGCACATGAAGCTCAGGGACAGTGCCTGGGCCCTGAGTTCAAGCCCTAGGACTGGAAAAAAGAAAAGGAAAAGGACAGGATTAAGGATGGCTGGTGTGCTAATCTAAAATATAGCATTTTCACTCTGACTTCAAAAACAAAGAAAAAAATTGTTTTTGGTCGGTTGTGGGTCTTGAACTCTAGGTCTGGGCGCTGTCCCTCAGCTCTTCAGCTCAAGGCGAGCACTCTACCGCTTGAGCCACAGCATCACTTCCGGTTTTCCATGGTTAATAGGAGATAAGAGTCTCACAGACTTTCCTGCCTGGGCTGGCTTTGAACTGTGATCCTCAGATCTCAGCCTCCTGAGTAACTAGGATTACGGTTCAAAGCCAGCCCATGCAGGAACTTCCATGACACTCTTATCTCCAATTAGCCACCAGAAAACCAGAAATGCTGTAGCCTTGAACTGAAGAGCTGAGGGACAGCCTGGGCCCAGAGTTCAAGCCCCAAAACTGACAAAGGAAACAAAACAAAAAAAAACAGCCTTAATAAATGCAACAGTGGTACTCACTAGACACTATGTTCTTGTGGGTAGGGATGGGAGGAGAAAACTGGGGGAAAGTGAGGAAGGGGTGACATTATCCAAAAAGAAATGTGCTCTTGGCCGGGTGCCAGTGGCTCACACCTGTCATCCTAGCTACTCAGGAGGCTGAGATCTGAGGATCGCGATTCAAAGCCAGCCCAGGCAGGAAAGGCCATGAGACTCCTATCTCCAATAAACCACCAGAAAACCGGAAGTGGCGCTGTGGCTCAGTTGGTAGAGCACTAGCCTTGAGCTGAAAAGCTGAGGGACAGCACCCAGGTCCAGAGTTCAAGCCCCACAACCCACAAAAAAAAGGAAGAAGAAGGAGAAGAGGAGGTGGAGGAAAGGAGGGGGAAGAGGAGGGGAGAAGGAAGAGGAAGGAAAAGAAAAAGGAGAAGAGGAGAAGGCAGAGGGGAGGGGGAGAGGGAGGGGATAGGGAGGAAGGGAAGAGGGGGAGGAAGAGGAGGAAGAGGAGGAGGAGGAGAAGCTTTGTGAAAATAGGGCCTTGTTTTGTTTTCCTTACTTCTGCCATTAGTACCCAAAACAGGACCTCCAGCCTATATAGAAAGTGGAGGCCAAATGGATTTTTTGTTGCCTTTTTTTGTTGTTTTTTTGGGGGGATCGGGTCGTGGGGCCTGAACTCTGGGCCTGGGCGCTGTCCCTCAGCGCTTCAGCTCAAGGCTAGCACTCTACCACTTGAGCCACACCGCCACTTCCGGCTTTTTTTCTTTTTGCTTATGTGGTGCTGAGGAGTCGGACCCAGGGCCTCAGGTATGCAAGGCAAGCACTCTACCACTGAGCTACCTTCCCAGCCCCTGGATTTGTAAAATAAACAAAAAATAGTGGATCCCAAAATGCTGAGGAGAAACAATAAGCTAGCAGAAGAAATCATAGGGCTGCATGCAGTATTCTTCCAGGAGAAAGATCGGATAGTCAAACATTTGTCACTTCTCTACGGCAAAACCATAGGGGCTGCATGCAGTATTCTTCCAGGAGAAAGATCCGGATAGTCAAACATTTGTCACTTCTCTACGGCAAAAACATTCTAATTTCTTTCTTCTAACTTTTTGGGATCTACACTTCACAATTACTATTGCTTCATCTTTCTGAGGCCAACCAAAGTAACTATGGAAGAGTGACAATACATGGTACGTGCAGAAATTATTCAGAGGTATTGTGTGGGGGGAGGGGGTTCAATTCCTCAGTACCACATAAACAGAAAAAGCAAGACAGAAGTGGTGCTGTGGCTCAAGTAGTAGAGTGATAGCCTTGAGCAAAAGAAGCTTAGAGACAGAGCCCAGGCCCTGAGTTCTAGCCCCAAAACTGGCAGAAAGAAAGAGAGAGAGAAAGAGAGAGAGAGAGAGAGAGAGAGAGAAAGAAAGAAAGAAAGAAAGAAAGAAAGAAAGAAAGAAAGAAAGAAAGAAAGAAAGAAAGAAAGAAAGAAAGAAAGAAAGAAAGAAGCAAGCCTGGCGCCGGTGGCTCACGCCTGTAATCCTAGCTACTCAGGAGGCTGAGATCTGAGGATTGAGGTTCAAAGCCAGCCCGGGCAGGAAAGTTCATGAGACTCAGATTTATCTCCAATAAACTGCTAGAAAACCAGAAGTGGCGCTGTGGCTCAAGCGGAAGAGCGCTAGCCTTGAGCTGAAGAGCTGAGGGACAGCACCCAGGCCAGAGTTCAGGACCCATGACCGGACCCAAAAATAAATAAATAAATAAATAAATAGGAAGGAAGGGAGGGAAGGAGGGAGGGAGGGAGGAAGGAAAGGAAGGGAAGGGAAGAGGAAAGGAAAAAGGAAGAGGGAAAGGAAGGGAAAGGACAGGAGGACAGGAAAGGAAAGGAGAGCTAGCTTGGGCTTCAGAAAGCCTGAGGCAGGTCCTCAGGCAGCGGCGGCCCTGGGGATGAAGGCAGGGCCAGGATCACCAGGCTGTGTGTGCGCTCTGCGGCCCTGGGGATGAAGGCCGGGCCAGGATCACCAGGCTGTGTATGCGCTCTGCGGCCCTGGGGATGAAGGCCGGGCCAGGATCACCAGGCTGTGTGTGCGCTCTGCGGCCCTGGGGATGAAGGCCGGGCCAGGATCACCAGGCTGTGTGTGCGCTCTGCAGACTTGCACCCTTTCATCTAGGTGTCCTGAGGCAAAGTCAGACACTCCTGGGCCTCATTTTTCTTTTCCTCAAATCAGGAGTCCCGGTAACCATTTTTGCCTCATCTTTCTGAGGTCAACCAAAGTAACTCACAGAAGAGTGGTGTTACACGGTAAGCTCATGAATTATTTGGGGTATTTTCTTTTTGGTGTGTGTGTGCGTGTGTGCGTGCGTGCGCGCGTGTGCATGTGTGCGTGTGCACGCACCAGTACTCAAGTTGAACTTTAGGCTTGAGTGCTCTCTCAGCTTTTTCACTCAAGTCTGCTGCTCTAACACTTGAGCCACAGCTCCAGTTCTGGCTTTTTGGAGGTTAACTGGAGAGAAGTCTCATGAACTCTCATGTCCAGGCTGGCTTTGAACTGTGATCCTCGTATCTCAGCTTCCTGCTAAGACTATAGGCAGCCAACTGATACTTTCTAGTCTTATTTGCTGCAGAATTCCAACTTCAAAACCTGGATACAACTGCCAAAAGATTCTGAAATTGTCCTTTGCTACTGCCACAGGAAGCAAACATTGTACCATGCAGTTCAAAGAGAGACATTAAAAAGCCAGCCCTTACCGGAGAGAGCATAACTAAAGAGGTGGAGATGCTAATTTGCATTGTGGTTGGGGATCCAGGGACAGGAAGACCTAAAACGTAAGTGCTGTAACTGGGGAATGGGGCTGGAGTTGCTTCTTGGACCCCTGGAGAGAAGGACAAGGACCAGTGGCACAGGAACCCGTGCTACATGGAGAAGAGCTCTCCCAGGGCAGTAACCTTGCGTGCCTGCAAGACTGCAGACATACCATGGGCAGCCATCCATGGGACTGCTTTGCAAGTCACCACCCAAGGGCTACACAATCTAAAAGGTTTCTTCCCGTTCTAAGAACCCTCAATTCTATCATCTTAAATTGACATAAATTATTAACAATAATCAAGGGGGCCCTCTGTATGTTTGGGGAATTGATTACACGACTCTCACAGGAACTAAAACCCACAAGTGCTCAAGTTCCTTATATAAAATGGCTTAGTATTTGCATATTACCTATGCACATCCTCCACATACTTTAAATGATCTCTAGGGTCTGTATAGTATCTAATAGAATGCATGCTGTTACACTATATATAATTGTTATGATGTACCGTTTAAGGAGTGATGACAAGGTAAAAGTTTACATATTTCAATGATATAATATTTTTCAAATATTTTTATTCACAGTGGTTAGCTGAATATGCAGTGCTGATCCTGTAAATATAGAAAACCACCTGTATTCAGCAACACACAGCTAATGCTTCAAACCCTTTCTGATCTTGTTATTACTGGTCTCTACCCTCAGCTCCACCCAGTTAACTTTTTTTAAGAGTAACCCCATCTGTATTTTCCAAATAATTTATCTTTGCGGAGGATTTTCCTTTCTGCTGAGATACAAAGACTTACCCCAGTTTCTGCAAGTTACATTGCGGATGCTTCACCTTTTCACATAAAATTCCAACTCCCAAATCTCCCAAGGCATTTTCCCCAACATAAAGTCTGGTCAGGGAGCAGCTGGTGCTGAGGACGGTCGCCAGATCCTGACAACAGGCCGATGTGAGGCAGCAGCTGACCAACCTTCCATAAAGACAGGAGACAGTCAGGGTCACGTCTGTCACCCCCTCCACCACACACTGAGGTTCACACATAGGACGAGGGTGCTCGGTGTAGTAACAGGTAAGCACCTTCCAAACGCGTCTTCCTGCCCCTACAATCATGGGATGGGGGTGGGGACGCTGGGGGGGGGGGCCGCACATGCGCGTGTGACAGTACTGGGGCTTACACTCAGGACATGTGCCTTTTTTGTTCACAGCTGGAGCTCTACCACTAGAGTCCCTCCTCCAGAATGGTTGCTTTACTGGTTAATTGGAGACAGAGTCTTGTGGAATTTTCTACCCAGACTGTCTTTGAACTGGGATCCTAAGATCTGACTCGGGTAGCTAGGATCACAGACATAATTCAGCAGTGTCCAATAACAAATATATGAGGGTTTTTTTGGTGGTGGAGCTTGAACTCTGGGTCTGGGCGCTGTCCCTCAGCTCTTCAGCTCAAGGCGGGTGCTCTACTGCTTAAGCCACAGGGCCACTTCCAGCCTTTTCTATTTATGTGGTGCTGAGGAATCGAATCAAGGGCCTCAGGCATGCAAGGCAAGCACTCTACCACTGAACCACCTTCCCAGCCCAAATATATGATTTGCTAAATAATAAAAATAGCAGCAAATAAAACATATAAATAAATATTATTTATTTATGGTGATAAACTTATTACAAATAAATGTATGGAGCTGGATGCCAGTGGCTCATGCTGGTAATCCTAGCTATTCAGGAGGTTCTGAGAGTCTCCAGTTAATCATAAAAACTGCCAAAAGGGCCTGGGAAGGTGGCTCAGTGGAAGAGTGCTGGCCCAGCATGCATGAAGCCCTGAGTTCGATTCCTCAGTACCACAAACACAGAAAAAGCCAGAAGTGGGGCTGTGGCTCAGGTGGTAGAGTGCTAACCTTGAGCAAAAGCAGCTCAGGGACAGTGCCCAGGCCCTGAGTTCAAGCCCCAGGACTGGCAAAAAAAAAAAAGAGAGTGAGAGAGAGAGAGAGCGCATCATTGTTTTCCACAGTTTTGCATTCACTAGCAATGCACAAAGCTCTAATTTCTCCCATTCTTGGCAACTCTACTTCACTAGGGTTTTTTGTGTTTGTTGTTGTGTTTTTTTCTATAATCATTATGGTAATGAGCTAGGCCTGCCATTTTTTGGCACTTTTTCTCTTGTTTAGAACCCAAGTCATTCAGAAGCGGTCAGTGACAAACGCAGTGTTTCAGCCTGATGTGAAGGCTGAAGGCTCATGTCCTAAAGCACTGTATCGCAGTAGTTCTGTTTTCTCAGCTATATCATACATACCTTAAGGGCAACCATCTTTTTTTTTTTTTTGTCATTTGCTGGACTGTCATATGTGGCTTTCCTCACGCAAGCACTAGCTGACTAAATGACTGGCAAGCAAACAGATGAGCACGGGAGCGCTTGGGGCAGATAGGGGCTGTTCTCACACAAGAACACCAGCTCCTGGTGTTCTCACTGAAGTCAGAGCTCTCCAAACAGACAGAGCTTCTAAGAGACATGAACGCAAACTCACCAGAGTTTCTTCAGATTGCAGGATAGATGCTTCAGCCCCACACACAAGAGTCTGATTCCAAAGTCTCCCAGGGCATTGTCACTCAGGTCCAATTCTATCAGCTTCTGGTTGCTGCTCAAGACTGAGGAGATGTCAAAACAGCACTGATGGGAAAGGCCGCAGCGTCCCAACCTTCATGCCAAGTACAGAAGCAGAGCGTCAGAGGCCTCTCACCGCTCTCACAGTTCAGAGCTTACTTAAGGTCATGTGCTGAGGCTACCTTGTGGAAGTGGGGTCTGTGAATGAAGCAAAGTCACGGGACGTGCACCTTGGAGGGAATACTGGGGTCATGGTCTCCTCTCTCTCTCTCTCTCTCTCTCTCTCTCTCTCCACTATGATGTAAATAAACTCCTCAGAATAAACCCTTCTGTTTGTACATTGCTTTTCTGAGACTGTTTGTCTCATGGATAGAGGACTGACTCCAACTGTCCCTCCTTACAGTCCTCCCTCGGTTTCTTCACCAGGAAGGGGCTTGTGTAACAAAGTTCATGGCAGGCAGCTCATCTGACCAGAGAGTTCCTGACACAGACCAAGACACAGCATTCCCAGGCTCACTGGCTCACAGCCTGAGGACACAGTGTTCAGGGCTGGGCACTGTAAATAATGCCAGGAATGTCATGATCCACCCACAGGTGCACAAATAGAAGCCTGTGGTTTCCATTTCTTTGGTATTTCTAATAGTTGAAGTACCAGCACTGGACACTGATGACATAGACTTCCTGGCCTTGCCAACATTGTTCCTCTTTTTTGCTAGCTGACTTAATCTGGGCATTCCATCTGTACTGAAGGAGAAATTAAGAGAACAGGAGCTCTGGTTCTTGATTTGTTACATATTATTGTTTGCGTATGGGTTGTTCTACAAGGGTTCATGTGTCAGATACTTGATTTGCAGGGATATAGGGAGATTGTGGAACCTTTAAAGGTGGGGCTAAATGCAAGGTAATTCTGTCCTCCAAAGAAATTAACATAGTTCTTATAGGATCCCATTAGTTCCTACAAACAACTAATGATATGAAGAGCATGAACTTTCCCCACTTTCTGGTTTTCTTTCTCAGTATATGATCTCCCTCTCTGGCCCACATTCCCACAGTGAGGTAATCCACCATATTCCCTCACCAGACTGCTTGGACTTTCAGACTCTAAAACTATGAGCTAAAGAAATCTCTTTAGAGCCAGGTGCCAATGGCTCACGCCTATAATCCTAGCTACTCAGAAGGCTGGGATCTAAGGATCGCAGTTCAAAGCCAGCCTGGGCAGGAAAGTCTATGAGACTTTTATCTCCAATAAAGCACTAGAAAACCAGAAGTGGCGCTGTGGCTCAAGCGGTAGAGCGCTCGCCTTGAGCTGAAGAGCGCAGGAACGGCACCCAAACCCAGAGTTCAAGCCCTCGACCAACAACAACAACAAAAAAAACTCTTTTACTTTTTCTTTACTTATTTTTGTTGGTCATGGGGCTTGAACTCTGGGCCTGGACACTGTCCCTCAGCTCTTCAGCTCAGGTAATTGCTCCACCACTTGAGCTACAGAGCTACTTCTGGTTTTATGGTGGTTTATTGGAGATAAGACTCTCATGGACTTTGCTGCTGGGGCTGGCTTTGAACCATGATCCTCAGATCTCAGCCTCTTGCGTAGCTAGGATTATAGGTGTGAGCCACCGACACCCAGCTTCTTTACTTTTTAAAGCATCCAGCCTTCAGCATTTTGCAATACATTTTACAACTATACACACACACACACACACACACACACACACACACACACACACCATTAGCGCTAGCAATTTTCACCAATCATGGAAGGGAAAACATCATTCTAATGCCTTTCCAGGCCAGTAGTTCATCCTAGAGCCTTTCAGACCACTTCCTTTATGTCCTCATCTTCATACCAACTCCCAGCAAATCGCTAGATCACTCCTCATCTGCAAAGCATGTCATTATCTTCCGTGCCTCCTTGTCTCCCATGTGGAGAGCACATGGGAGAGGTCATGCAGATAATATTATCAGGAGAAACAAGGCTCCGTGCCAAAACCAAAATTCCAGAGCCCGGAAGATGAAAGAACATTTATAATTCATCAAGAATTAAGAAAAAGCACTTAAACAGCAGAACAACACAATCAAATTAAAATCTTCTATCTTTGCATGGAGGAACACCTCTGTAACCTCAGAAAGCAGAGGCAAGTAGACCTCAATTTCCAGGCTAGACTCACTACATAGAGAAACCTAGTCTCAAAAAATAATAATAAGCTTGGGGCTGGGAAGGGGCTCAGTGGTAGAGCGCTTGCCTTACATGCACAAGGCCCTGGGTTCGACTCCTCAGCACCACATCAGCAGAAAAAGCTGGAAGTGGCTCTGTGGCTCAAATGGTAGAGAGCTAGCCTTAAGCTGAAGGGCTGAGGGACAGCGCCCAGGCCCAGAGTTCAGGCCCCACGACTGACCAAAAAAAAAAAAAAAAAACAGACACAAGAGGTCGGGCACTGGTGGCTGAAACGTGCAATCCTAGCTACTCAGGAGGCTGAGATCTGAGGATTGTGCAATGGTTCAAAGCCAGCCCAGGCAGGAAAGCCTGTGAGACTTATTTCCAGTAAACTAGTCAGAAAAAGCGGGAAGTGGTGCTGTGACTCAAATGGTAGATAACGCACACACATGCATGCGCACACACTCACACACACACACAAGGCACAGGAAAGCATCTGTGACATTTCAACCTATACAAACATTGTGCTGTGCTCTAACTCAGGAAGCCATGATGGTCTCTGAGGAAACTCTCCAATTATCATCTAGGAACAGAGCCCATAAGGAAATGAAAGGCACTCAGAGTTGTAGACTTTTTGTTTTACTACTGAGAAATGACTCTTCTCAGTTCCTCTTCATTTTTCCCCATCAAAACTCCCCAAACTGACCTCCACTACATTCTGTCTCCCCACGTACAGTGACTGGAATATGTCCTCCAAAAGTTCTTGTGTGGAAATCCTACCCAGAAGGCCACAAATAACAACTGTGATCTCCAAATACTAATTATGTTAAAATGAGCTGTTGGTTTGTGATTGCTTCCTTGTAAGAGCCAGGTGAGAGCCAGGTACAGGTGGCTCAACATGCTTTTCATCCTAGCTACTCAGGAGGCTGAGATCTGAGTATCCAAGTTTGAATCTAGCAGGGCAGGAAAGTCCGTAAGACTCTTATCTCCAATTAGCCATCCAAGAAATCTGGGACTGGAGCTGGAGCTGTAGTGGTAAATCACCAGACTTGAACAAAAAGCCTGGCAAGAGCTCAAGGCTCTTATGTTCAAGTTCCAATACTGGCACTTATTTAAAAAAAAATGAGGGCTGGGAAGGTGGCTCAGTGGTAGAGCGCTTGCCTTGCATGCATGAGGCCCTGGGTTCAATTCCTCAACACCACATAAGTAGAAAAGGCTAGAAGTGGTGCTGTGGCTCAAGTGGTAGAGTGCTAGCCTTGAGCTGAAGAGCTGAGGGACAGCGCCCAGGCCCAGAGTTCGGGCCCCTTGACTGAGCGGGAAAAAAAAAAAAGCTAAAAAAAAATGAGGTTAGCACATCGATACTGTGTAAAGTTATCAGCAGAAAGGGGTTATCTACAAGCCAAAAGGTGAGTGCTGCCAGGCACTGTAGCTCACGCTTATAACCCTAGCTACTCAGGAGGCTGAGATCTGAGGACCACAGTTCAAAGCCAGCCCAGGCAGGAAAGTGCATGAGATTCATCTCCAATTAACCACACAGAAAACGGGAAGTGCAACTGTGGCTCAAAGTAGCAGAGAACTGACCTTGAGCAAAAGAGCCCAGGGATAGCGCCCCCTCCCCCGCCCCGACAGACAGACAGACAGACACACACACACACACACACACACACACACACACGCACGCACGCACGCACACACATAGGGACTTACCACAGTCTCCGAATGTTACAGCCAGGATTCTGGAGTGTTTCGCACAACACCCTCATCCCTGGGTCCCCCAGCACATTGTCGCTGAGGTCTAGCTCAGTTAGACTCGTGTTACTGCTCAGAACAGAGAAGAGGCCCCGACAAAAACTGGACGTTAGACAGTAGTTCACCACTCTAGAAATGAGAAGGCAGAAGAACAGAAAAGAACACTGATCTCTAACAAGAACAAACGAGTAAGAGCCAGGGTGCTTGGCACCGTTCATACAAATGATTCCCAGGAGGAGGACATGGTGGCACCATCTTTTTTTTTTTTTTTTTTTGCTGGTCATGGGGCCTGAGCTCTGGGCCTGGGCGCTGTCCCTCAGCTCTTCAGCTCAAGGCTAGCACTCTACCACGTGAGCCACAGCGCCACTTCTGGCTTTTTCTGCTTATGTGGTGCTGAGGAATTGAACCCAGGGCCTCATGCATGCAAGGCAAGCGCTCTACCACTGAGCCACCTTCCCAGCCCGGCACCCATCTTTAATCTCAGCACTCAGGAAGCTAAGGTAGGGAGGATCTCAAGTCAAGGCCAGCTGGGCTGTACAGGAGGATCTTGTCAAGGAGGAGGAGGAGGAAGAGGAGGAGGAGGAGGAGGAGGAGGAGGAAGAAGAAGAAGAAAAGGAAAAAGAAGAAGAGGAAAAGAAAAAAAAGGGATGAGGGAGCCCTCCTGGGGCTTAAGAAGTAGATCACAAGTCCAAAGAATATTCATGGAGGAGCGAGAGGGTAGGTGAGACTTTGAAGAGAACTTCTACCTTTTGACAAAAAACTGAGAGCCTTTGGCCAGTCGCGAGCATCCACCCTCCCTCAGCAGTCAGCTGACCTGTCCTAGCTTGGACCCTCTGGAATTACTGCTCTAAAAAGAGACTGTCACATGGTGAAAGGGATGTCACTGATCAAGATGCATCACATCTGTAAACTGCTTTTTAATGGCAATTCCTGTATAACTACTCAAAGATAATAATATTTTTTTTCCAGTTGTGGGGTTTGAACTCTGGGCCTGGGCACTGTCCTTGCGCTCTTCAGCTCAAGGCCAGCGCTCTACCACCTGAGCCACAACAACACTTCCTGTTTTCTAGTGGTTTATTGGAGATAAGAGTCTCACAGACTTTCTTGCCCGGGCTGGCTTTGAACCGTGATCCTCAGATCTCAGCCTCCTGAGTAGCTAGGATGACAGGCATGAACCACCAGTGCCCGGCTTAATAAAATAATTTTTTTTTGGTCCCATCATGGGGCCTAAACTCTGGGCTTGGGCGCTGTCCCTCAGCTCTTCAGCTCAAGGCAAGTGCTCTACCACTTGAGCCACAGTGCCACTTCTGGCTTTTTTCTTTTGCTTATGTGGTGCTGAGGATTTGAACCCAGGGCCTCAGGCATGCAAGGCAAGCGCTCTACCACTGAGCCACCTTCCCAGCCCAATAAAATAATTTTTTAAAAGAAAGAAGAAAGCCTCTCGCATGGGCTGCACAGCAGCAGAGTACATTCTCAAAAATCCTGATACCAGGGCTGGGAATGGCTCAGTGGTAGAGCGCTTGCCTTGCATGCATGAGGCCTTGGGTTAGATTCCTCAGCACCACATAAGCAAAAAGAAAAAAGCCAGAAGTGTTGCTGTGGCTCAAGTGGTAGAGCGCTAGCCTTGAGCTGAAGAGCTGAGGGGCAGTGCCCAGGCCCAGAGTTCAGGCCCCACGACCGGACCCAAAAAAAAAAATCCTGAAACCAGGCTGTGCCCATAGATATAAAGTCAGAATCTCTGAGTCAGATCATTCTATATTAATTTTAAGCCATTCCAGAAATTCACATTTAAATTACCTGAAGCTCCTGTTAAAATGCAGTTTGAGCTGGGAACTGGTGGCTCACACCTGCAAACCCAGCTACTTGGGAGACTGAGGTTGGGAAGATCATGGTTCTAGGCTAGTCTGGATGGGAAAGTCTGTGAGTCTCCTTTCAATGGAAGAAGCTGGGCGTGCCTGCCATCTCAGCTACTGTAGAACATGAAAAATAGGGGGATCGTGGTCCAGGCACAAACACAGGAAAGAAGCAAGACCTTGACTCAAATATTCAGTGCATTGCCAGGTGCTGTGGCTCACACCTGTAATCCCAGCTACTCAGGAGGCTGAGATCTGAGTGTCTTAGTACAAAACTAGCCCAGACAGGAAAATCTGTGAGACTCTTAACTTCAATGAACTACAAAAAAAAAACAAACTAGAAATGGAGCGATGACTCAAAAATGGTAGCATACTATAAATAAATAAATAAGTGATCAATGCAAAAGTTGGGGCTGGGGCTATAATTCATTTAAATGGAGTGCAAGGTCCTGAGTGCAAACCCCATACTGCCAAAAAAAATTTAAACTGAGGAATCTGACTGCAAAGGTCTTCAATTCTGCACCTAGTATCACTTCACCACTGGTCTTTCCGAAGGTTCTAGAATCCAAAGCAATCATTACCTTTTCTGTGAATGTCATCTAGAAAGATGGATGCGTACCTCACTTCTGACCAGAAACTTTAGCCAGGCCCTGTAAACCATCACTTTCTTCAAAGGTGCATGATCTTGGTCATACCTCTTGTTCGCTCCTCTTTTCTTTTAGGACCTTAAGGAGCATGTCTTCCTTCTTTTCAGTCTCCCTCCCTTGTACCTCCCTCCCTCATTACTGTCACCTGAATGCCCATCTCTCCCCTGTCTAAATGAATAAGTAACAAAATCATCTTGACCCCCTAGCCCCCAGGGTGATGGCATTAGGAGATGAGGTCTGTGGGGTGATTAATCATGGTGCTCCATAAGTGAGCTTAGTGCCCTTATAAAAGGGAGCTTAAAAGAGCAGTCTTGCTCCTTCAATTAGGGCAGGACATAGCACAGAGGCTCCAGCCTCTCAACCATGGTCTTCTCAGCTTCCAGCTTGTAATAAATTGATCTTGGGCTGGGAAGGTGGCTCAGTGGTAGAGCACTTGCCTTGCATGCTCGAGGCCCTGGGTTCAATTCCTCAGCACCACATAAGAAAAAAGCTGGAAGTAGCGCTGTGGTTCAAGTGGTAGAGCGCTAGCCTTGAGCTGAAGAGCTGAGGGACAGCGCCCAGGCCCAGAGTTCAGGCCCCACGACCGGACCCAAAAAAAAAAAAAAAGAAAGAAAAATGAACTAAAAGAATGAACTAGAGTGAACATTTGCACACCCGCTCCACATCCTGATTCATTGTGCTGAACTGGCATTCCTTCCCAAATGTGAGTGTCCTATATTCTGGGAGTATTGAGTCTGATGGCGTTGCTATGTAGCTTGACAGTTATAGTCAGAAAATGTTCAAAAGAGAGAAAAAAGAAGGCACCAAGCAAGGTAGCCAGAAAGCAGCTGCCATGTTCTACCCCCTTCTGGAGGTCACACTCCTTACGTGTGAGCGCTGGTATCGCGGGCCAGGCCCGCGTGTGGACTGTCTTCCTCCTCCTCTTCTTCCTCCTTGGGCGAGTTATGGAGAAAGCCCAGGGAAAGTGTTTCTACTCTGCGACAGTTCTCAATGCAAAATGAAGAAACCATGTGGTCCATTCTGGTGGAGAGGTTGACCTCAATTTTGGGGAAGTGGTCCATGGCCCTTCTCACAAAGTCCTCCTCCTGCATCTCATACAGGCAATAGAACAGCTCCAGCTGGCTGGGCTGCATCTGCAGCTTCTTGGCCTTGGCTTTTGCTTCAATCCATTTCAGCAGCTCCAGTCTGATTTGCTGGGAGATCTTACAACTTAATTTCTTCTCCAAATAAGAGGTTCTCTCCTGATTTACAAGGCCAAAAAGGAAGCGGACCACAAAGATCAGATATCCCTTTTCGAATTTGCCATAGTTTTCCAGGAGGACCGCCACATCTCGGTGTGGAAGCTCTGAACAACTCCCAGACTTGCTCCTTGTCATCGCATTGTCTTCTTCCTCTTCCAGCAAATAGTACATAGCAGCAAAGAACTCCTGGAAAGTCATGTGAATAAAGCTGTAGAATTTCTCACAGTCTACTTCCTTCTGGAACACGTTCATCCTCAGGAAAGCAGACACATCCACCTTCTGCAGGCCGTGATTCCTGAGGTCACATTCCTCAAATAAAATTTTCTGGTTCCAGATTCCATCAGCAGCCAAAGAGCAGAGCCCACGGAGGTTGGCATGGAGGTGGGGCTCTTGGCCCATTCCTCGGGACTGCAAGAGACTGGACAGGAAAAAGACATAGACTGCAGTGGTGGTCTTAGAGGTCTGAGCGAGGCTCTTGCCACTCTGCATCTGCTGCATTAGCCCTGTACACACAATCCAGCACACCAAGGGGATGAAGCACATGGTGAAGAGGACCTCATTCTCCTGGATCAGCCTGAAGGCCTCACTGGCCTGTGCTTCATCTGAGAAATACTTGAAGAAATACTCCTTCCTTTTGGCTTCAGAGAAACCCAGGATCTCTATGTGACGTGGGTGGTCCAGCAGGTGCTGCAGCTTCTCCAGGGCCACTGGTCTCGTAGTGATGAGCAGAGAGGCCTCAGGCAGCAGCTTCTTTCTGATGAGGCTGCTCAGGAGAATGTCCCCCCTCTCAGCCTTCTGCCAGTCTGTGCAGAGCGCTCCTATGTGCTCATCAAAGGCCCCCTGGAGCTCGTCAAAACCATCCATGAGGAAGAGGACCCTGGAGGGCTTGTGCATGATCTTGCACAAGGGTGGGTTTGGGTCAGGGCAACAGCTGACAATCAGGTCCCCCAGGCTCCTCGACATCACAAGGCTCACCTCGCGACAGTGGATGTAGAATAAATAGTCAAACTTATCTTGGAACAGCTTCCCTGATGCCCAGTCCAGCATAATCTTCCTGGCCAGAATTGTCTTCCCAATGCCTGCCGCTCCCTGGAATACCACCGTGTTCACAGGCTCAGAGTGTTCATCATCGGGGTCAAACAGCGATTCCAGCTTAATAGGACTCATGGGGCTGTCCCATGTCTTGGTCCTGCCAATGGCCAGCAGCTCATGCTCCCTCTCCTGCTGGCTTGGGTGCTCCTTGACCAGCTGCAGCCGCGTGTAACGTTTATTGAGATTCACACTCTCACCTAGACGCGCATTCCTATCTTCAATACAGTGGAATCTACTTCTCACATGTCTTCTGTACTTCTTACAGTAATCTATGACAGAGACAGAAAGTCAGAAGAAGTAGCCTACACATATCTGAGATGAGCAACAAATAAGCTTGAAAAAATACATTCAAAAAACAAACATAATAATCCTGTGCCCTAAGAAGGAGTATTGAAACAGACTCTGGTGGCTCATGCCTATAATCCTAGCTAATCAGGAGGCTGAGAACTGAGCATTCTGATTTGAAGCCAACTCAGGCTGAAAAACTCCATGAGATTTATCTTCAATTAATCACCAAAAAGCTGCAAGTAAAGATGCTTCAAGTGGTAGAGCACCACCTTAAGCAAAAATGCCAAACCCCTACTCAGGAGGCCGAGATCTGAGGATCGCGGTGCAAAGCCAGCCTAGTCAGGAAACTCCATGAGATTCTTTTTTTTTTTTTTTTGTCGGTCATGGGACTTGAACTCTGGGCCTGGGTGCTGTCGCTCAGCTCTTCAGCTCAAGGCAAGCGCTCTACCACTTGAGCTACAGCGCCACTTCTGGTTTTCTGGTGGTTTATTGGAGATAGGAGTCTCACAGTCTCTCCTGCCCAGGCTGGCTTTGAACCGCAATCCTCAGATCTCAGCCTCCTGAGTAGATAGGATTACAGGCGTGAGCCACCAGCACCTGGCTTCTCCATGAGATTCTTAATCTCCAATAAACCACTTAGAAAATCGAAAGTGGTGCTGTGGCTCAAGTGGTAGAGCCTCACCTTGAGCTTAAGAGCTGAGGGATAGTGTCCAGGCCCAGAGTTCAAGCCCACAACCGAGGAAAAAACAAAACAAAACGCCAAACCAGAGTGCAAAGGCCCAGTACTGGCATAAAAATAAAAAGGCGTGTTTGGGGGACACTAAAAACTGTGAAGTTCCAAGAACACAAATGCAATGTGAGCACTGACTGTGAACTAGAGAAGCAGACATGTGTTACTCCTGTTTGCAAATGTGAATCAATGAAACATAAGATACAGACTCATATTAAAGCAAGTTTGCATTCCTACGAAGGAAAATAAGGGGTTGGAGATGTGGCTCATGTAGTAAAGCACCAACCAGTAAGCAAAAGCATCAGATACTGAATTCTGGTACCAGTCTCAGAAAAAAAAAAAAAGCCGGGCACCAATGGCTCATGCCTGTAATCCTAGCTACCGAGGAGGCTGAGATCTGAGGATCACGGTTCAAAGTCAGCCCAGGCAGGAAAGTCCATGAGACACTTATCTCCAATAAACCACCAGAAAACTGGAAGTGGTGCTGTGGCTCAGGTAGTAGAATACTAGCCTTGAGCTGAAGCGCTGAGGGACAGCGCCCAGGCCCAGAGTTCAAGCCCCATGACCAACCAAAACAAACAAACAAACAAACAAAAGAAAAAGAAAACAGATTTGCAACCTAGAGAAAATAGCAGTTAGGGAGAGAAACAGAAAGAGTAAGGTTTCTAGTATCTTGGCTCTGAAAGGCCCCCAAAATCTAATGCCCAGTGTTTTATATACACAACTAACTAAAAGACAAGTGTACATGCAGCCACCAGCCAGAAAATCTTGTTTGAATCTTACACCATTAGTCTGAAGCTCATATCATTTTTTTTGTGGGGGGGGGGCTGGGCACTGTTTCTGAGCTCTTCAGCTCAAGGTGAGTGCTCTATCACTTGAGCCACAGCACCACTTCTGGTTGTCTGAGTGGTTTATTGGCCTAAGATTCTCACGGACTTTCCTGCCGGGCTAGCTTTCAATAGAGATCCTCAGATCTCAGCCTCCAGAGTAGCTAAGATTACAAGTGTGAGCCACCAGCACCCGGCACTCAAGTCATTTTTGTGTATGTGTGCTGGTCCTGAGACTTGAACTCAGGGCCTGGGAGCTGTCCTTGAGCTTCTTTTGCTCAAGGCTTAGTGCTCTACCACTTGAGCAATAGTTTTATTTTCTGCTTTTTTGGTAGTTTATTGGAGATAAGAGTCTCATGGACAGGGGCTGGGAAGGTGGCTCAGTGGTAGAGTGCTTGCCTTGCATGCATGAGGCCCTGGGTTCGATTCCTCAGCACCATAAGCAAAAAAAGGCAGAAGTGGTGCTGTGGCTCAATTGGTAAAGCACTGGCCATGAGGTGAAGAGCGCAGGGACAGCACCCAAGCCCAGAGTTCAAGCCCCATAACCAAAAAAAAAAAAAAAAGAGTCTCATGGACAAACTATGCAACGGGTGGGCAGGGGCAGGAGGAGGGAAATGGGGGAAAGCAAAAGAAGGAGTGACACTGCCCAAAAAGAACTGTACTCATTTTAGCAGTGCACCAGTGGCTCACACCTGTCATCCTGGCTACTCAGAAGGCTGAGATGTAAGGAGCACAGTTCAAAGCCAGCCCAGGCAGGAAATCTGTGAGACTCCTATCTCCAATCAACTACTTAGAAAAGGCCAGAAGTAATTGTAGCTCAAGTGGCAGAGCACTATTCTTCAGCACAAAGAGGCTCAGGGACAGACTCAGGCCCTGAGTTCAAGCTCCAAGACTGACAGAAAAATAAAAATGAAGTTTACTCATTACTACCTGATTTATGAAATTGTAAACCCTCTACACAACACATCAATAATAACAATAAAATTATATTTTTAATAAAACCTCCCGTTATTTCTGGGACTCCAAGTAGCAATGAAAATGAGTTTGCTTCTTCAGCTAGCCGTGGATCTCCTAGCACTAGCCTTGCAACACACCCCAGGCAGCAGGAGCATGTGGAAGGGCCAAGTCACCCTGCTACTCGGCTGCACAGGGTCTCCTGATACAGCTCTGAAAACAACTAGAAGCAGCACTCCAATTGCTTACCTTTCTTTTTCTTACAAGCTGAGATTCTGGAAAGGAACCCCAGTAAACCTATCCACTCCTCTTCAATACTGTCTTCTTGGCACACCACAGTGAGACTGGAATCATGTGTATTATCTGAACAGAAAAGGGAAAAACGCAAAGTGTCAAAACCCAAAACCCCTAACTCAGAGGACGTAATTGAGAACCAGTCTAGCAATTGGCGTGGTTCAGATGCTCCTGTCCTAGGTATCTCCTGAATAAAACACGGCTCAGGGCTGCAGATGACATGTGTGATGTCAGAATTACACATGGGAGTGTTGTGGCATACCTCACTTTGCAAGGATGGCCATCAGCTACCTGCCAAGCATTCTGTACCCACTATATTCAGTCTCAAGTCTTCTTTTCCAGGCCCAGAAATCACCAAACACGTACAGCAGGCAATGGTGCATTTACTCTCACCTGTTTCTGGCAGTATCTGGCTCCCTGATGTTGAGGCCATTCCCAAAAATCTCCAGTGTCCTCAAGATGGCCATGGACCAAGAAGTGTCCCCCCTTCCCTGATTTCACTTAACTGCAAACCATTCTACCCACATCTTGAGCTTTCTCCTCTAGGTTTCTAGATCAAACCTACCAACTATCATGTAACTGTGACCTCTCTGTACATCATCTTTATAACAACAATAAAAAATTAAGATACATTCATAAACTGATGTGTTTAATAGAAACTTCCTTGTATAGGTAAAGATAATAACATTTAAAATTACATACTCATAAAAAATAAAATAAATATAATAAGATAAACCACCAACTGGATTTATGTATAGTTCAGTAATTCAAAATCCTGATTGACTTGCCTAGCATCCATAAAACCCTTGGGTTCCATTCTTCACTACCATATAAACAGAAAAGGCTGGAAGTGGTGCTATGGCTCAAGTGGTAGAGAACTAGCCTTGAGCAAAAGAAGCTCAGGGACAGTCCTCTGAGTTCATCCCAGGACTGACAAAAAAATTAATTATTTATTTAGAAAAGACTGGCTCCACAACTCTACCCCCAAATGAAGAAATTTTATTCTAATCTCTCTGAGAAGCCCAGGCACTATGACGTATTAAAAGTTTCCAGGTGATTCCAAATGTAACTATAGCTAAGGATCACCAATCTAAACACCACTAATAACATATCCAAAAAAAAGTGTTTGATAGGAGAAATTTGGGCATGACAGAATAAAAGATAATCATCCAGAAAACACAAAAGCCAAGTGGGCAGGAGCCTAACAGCCAGATGGCTTCTGGTAGGTGAGAACTTAGTCTGAGGGCAAATACTATTGGCAATCTGGTCATAAAGTAAAATCTAAATATTAACTCAAAACCTGAAGCAATTCTTACCCAAAGTGTCTCCTAACCCAGAAAAAGAATTTCAGCAGACAGTTTCTTTCCATTCAAATGCAAGCCAGACACCGGGGACTCACACCTATAATCCTAGCTACTCAGAAGGCTGAGATCTGAGGATTGCGGTTCAAAGCCAGCCCAGGCAGGAAAGTATGTGAGACTATTGTCTCCAATAAACCACCAGAAAACCGGATGTGGCACTGTGGCTCAAGTGGTAGAGCACTTGCCTTGAACTGAAGAACCCAGGCCCAGAATTCAAGCCCCACGACTGACAAAAAAAAAAATGTAGATACACAAGTCAGCATGACCTAGCAGTTAAGACCACTTAGCATTTAGTCCAGTTGACCAGAATGAAATATGCACAATCAGAACCTCTTCTAACTTACTTTCACCCACTTGAAAGAAGGGAAAACACAGTAAGTACTTCGTGGGTTTGCTGGATAAACAAAATGCAAGATACTGCCTGGCGAAGTATTTCTACCTTAATTTGAGTATGAAAATACAAGCACTGTTACAATTGTATTATTATGTGCAATGGTAGAACAACCTCTGTCTCTTCAGACCGATACCACTTTTCTATTTCCCCAACACATTTCCTGTTTCCCATCTTGCTGTGTGCCTCATTATCTTTGGTGCACTTTATTCTTTCTTTCCCCAATACCAGCTAAGCATCATCACCTGTGATATTCAGGGCTATTCTGAGGTCTTCTTAGCATACTTCCCTTATGTGGAAAAAACAAAAGAACAAGACTCTCCCCCAACATATACACGGGGATTAAGATAATTTCTTTGACTGAGCATAGCAGCACACACTTGTAATCTCAGAACTCTGGAGACTGAGGTTGAGGATAATAAGCTCCAGCCAGCCTGGGATGCATAGTAAAACCCTGTCTAGAGAGAGAAAAAGAGAGAGAGAGAGAGAGAAAAATACAGAGAGAGACAGAAAGAGAGAATGCATTTCTTTCACCATCTAATTCCTAAAGTCATGGCCATCACAAAGGCTTTTCCGTACAAGTTATATGATTCTCAAAGAGCAAGGATTCCCTCTGGAGCCATAGCAAGGATAAACTCAAGCTTATGAACCATGCAAGTAGACACTGGACAAGCAAAAACATGAGGAGCCGGGCAAAGAACTAGAAGCAAGTCTGGACACTAGAGAGATTCCGATAGAGCATCCCTAACAAAGGCAGGTTCCAAGCATAAGTAAAGTCTGGGCTTTTAAGTGGTTAGAAAAAGCAAACTGGGTGCTGGGAAGGTGGCTCAGTGGTAGAGTGCTTGCCTACCATGCATGAAGCACTGGGTTTGATTCCTCAGTACCACATAAACAGAAAAGGCTGGAAGGGGCACTGTGGTTCAAGTAGTAGAGTGCTAGCCTTGAACAAAAAGAAGCTCAGAGACATTGCCCAGATCCTAAGTTCAAGCCCCGTGAATAGTGAAAGCAAGCAGGCAAGCAGGTAGGCAAGCAGGTAGGCAAGCAGGTAGGTAGGCAGCAAGCAAGCAAGAAAGAAAGAAAGGAGGGGAAAGGAGAAAGAAAGAGAAAAAGAAAAATGTTTTTATCCATCTTCCCACAGCATTCCTATGAAAAAGGGGGGGGGCGGGAATATAGTACAAGAAACGATTCCTTTAAATACTGACTATAGCTGGATATGGTGGCACACATCTATAATCCCAGAAATTTAGGAGGCTGAGGTAGGAAAATCATAAGTTCTAGGTCAGCCTGGACCACAAAGCAAGTTTGAGGCCAACCTAAGCTATAAAGCAAGACCCTGCCTCAAGAAACAAGAAGAGGGGCTGGGAAGGTGGCTCAGCGGTAGAGCGTTTGCCTTGCATGCCTGAGGCCCTGGGTTCGATTCCCCAGCACCACACAAGCAAAAAGAAAAAAAAGCCAGAAGTGGCACTGTGGCTCAAGTGGTAGAGCACTAGTCTTGAGTTGAAGAGCTGAGGGACAGCGCCCAGGCCCAGAGTTCAGGCCCCATGACTGGACCAAAAAAAAAAGAAAAAGAAAAAAGAAGAGTCAAGCACTGGTAGCTCACACCTATAAACCTTGCTAATTGGGATGCTAGGATTGGGAAGATTGTGGTTCTAAGTCAGCCCAGGCAGAAAAGTTCAGGAGAGTCCTTCTCAACCAAAAGTTGAGAGACCAAAAATAAGTTTAGCAGTAATAAAAATAAGTTTATCAGTAATTTCAGACAAAACTAAAACACTCGTCATCTGTTACTGGAAAGTAAGTGTTAGATCTGCACCAAGGCAAGATAACAGTAAGAATTATTAAGGGACCAGTCTGCCCTGACCAGACCAGTTATTTGGGCAGTCTCTCCCCCCAACTCTGTCGAGAAAACATTTAGGACAAGACATAATTCAGCAGTCCTGTGGTTAGCCCCACGTATCCAACCAATGATATATGATTTAACCTATCCTGTAATCGCTAAGGTAGAAAGTCCCTGCCCTTACTGGAAATGATCATACCCCTAACTAATGAGCTTGATATCCTTCCCCCTGCTACATAATCAGTAAAAACCCTGCTGGACAAGGGGTAAGGGCTCACAACTCTGACCTGCTGCATCAGTGACGATTGTGAGTCCAAGCTCGAGCTTGCAAATAAATGATTCTTTTTCTGTTTGCATTGGTTGTGGTCTATGGGGGTCGCTTGGGGGGTCTTGAGTTTGAGTCTAACAGATGGGGGCTCGTCCGGGATCCCCCTCATAAGCCCACCCAGACGCCTGATCAGAGAGTCGCAAAGAATGTCCGGTAAGTCAAGGCATTGCTGCTTTGTAATTGTGTAGTATCTGTGTTGCCTGCAGGTTTGGTATTGGGGTTGGCAAGAAGTCTTGGCAGACGCGCTATACGAAAGCCAACGGGACCAGTGGGAGATGTCCCCAGGCGGATCCCCATGGGGGTAAACTATCCACTAATGTGGACATTTGAAATTTTTAGAGGGGGTTTGAGTCCCCTGGTGAGTGAATGGTGGTGAGATATTACCCCACTCACTGCCCGCCTGAAGTCCTGCACTTTCTACCTGATAGTTTATAGGTAGGCTGTTTTAGGAGTTCGAGTCCCCTGGTTACCTGGAAGGTGTTAAAGTCCCCTGGTGAGCCTGGCACTTTCTGTCTGACAGTCTACAACCTGCATGTTGTAAATGTGTTTTGTCTCAATGTTTGTGTGTATGTGTTTTGGAATTCTTGGAACATTTCTTCTCCCAGATTCATTCTGATGCCAGAGCCCGGAGGAGACTGGCTAACACCCCCTTAATATCTGTTTCTCTCTCTAGCCCCCCTTTTTTTGCCGGTCATGGGGTCTGAACTCTGGGCCTGGGCGCTGTCCCTCAGCTCTTCAGTTCAAAGCTAGTGCTCTACCACTTTGAGCCACAGCACCACTTCCAGCTTTTTCTGCTTATGTGGTGCTGAGGAATTGAACCCAGGGCCTCATGCATGCAAGGCAAGCACTCTACCACTGAGCCACTTTCCCAGCCCCTCTAGCTCCTTTTTTATCTCCTTTTTCACTTGCACTTTAAACTGACCTCCCTCTCTACCCTTCACTGCAACCTCCTCCACCCTCTCTGGATCCAGAAGGAGAAAGGGGGGGGGGGCGAGGAACCTGGAGGATCTAGCAATAACTTGGAAGGGCCAGCAGGGAGAACTCGCGGCCAGATGAAACTGCCACTGACCATCTGCAAGTGGTACCAGCAAGATCTTAGCCTCGGGCCTTGGCCCAGGGGGTCTGAGTATGGGGGAGAATCTGTCAGTCTGAGGA